GGGCGAGGCACACCCCCCCCACAATGAAGATTATATAATAGCTTCTATCATATATATATATATATATATATATATATTATTAACACGCACTTGTCAGCCTCAGCATAATTTTCACGTTTTCCACCTTTCTTCTTGCTTTTCACCACCTCCTGCTAGGGCCGTCAAAATGGCTCGTTGTTCGTGACAGCTCCTATTTGACACGTTAATAATAGGCTCGTGTTCGGCTCTTTAGCTAAGTTAACGAGCCGAACACGAACAACGCACATGAAGATTTGTTCGTTTGTGTTCAGCTCGTTTTGGCTCGAAATACTATTAATCAATTTTATATATATATATTTGATGAGTAATATTTTTTAAAAAATTAATTGACTATAAAACCACAAAGAATTATAATCAATTAAAGTATTAATTAAGAAAATAAAATTAAAATTTTTAAATTAGATTCAAATGATGTTTTAATATAAACAATAATTTTTAAATCATGCCTCAATTCTTAATATCATATGGCTACGTGATTAGGGTTGTCAAAACGACACTTTGTTTGTGAACGGCTCGTGTTCGGCTCGTTAAGCAAACGAGCCGAACACGAACACGCTTTTTGAGCTTGAAATATAAACGAGCCGAACACGAGCTGAGCCTGGGTTCGTTCATGTTCGGCTCGTTTACACCTCTACCTACTATGGAACTATGGAACGAGGCTTTTAAGTAATGTTTTGAAGTGAACATTTTCATGCTATGAACTACGTTTTAGTAGCGCGTCAGATATGATTTAAGCATAATTTATTTATTAAAACTCTCAAAATAAATTAAAACTTTTGTAAGTGCTTTAAAGAGCGGTTATATTTTATTTTGCATGCCAGATATGATTTATTTTAGATAGAGGGATATTTATAAAAACAATATGACGGCAAAATGCCCAAGTTATAGCTTACGGTTTATAGCATACTAAACTTTATGAAAATGAAAAAACAACATGAACAGAAACAACTGATTTATAATTAATTCAAAATGCAAATGGATGGTCATCATCAATTTTGATCAACAGACTCCGCTGAGCTCTCATCAAAATAGGCTTAAATCTATTAAAAGAAAAAATTATCCTAAGTGCTGTTTTTATAAATAACCAATGTATGTAGGGATAAAGCATTTGATTGGTTCGGATGGATCATTTTAAAAATTGATCAAAATAGATTACAATCGAAATTCATAATCCAAAAAAACAGAATCAAAGTAAATTTTGATAAAATCAAACTGACTGAACCGAAGTTTAATTCGGTTTAAACAGTTTGGTGATGAAAAAATTGAAATTTAACTGTTTATAAAAATTTGGTTAAAAAACATTACTAAGTATAATGTTTATCCACATAATATTGATTTGATTTAATAAATCTTCTATTTATTTCAATCAAATATTAAATCTAGTAGAGATTTTGAATTTCTTAATTTATTTGACTTGAAATTAAAATATAATAATTTTTTTTAAATAAAATATCAGTTTTTCGGCTTGTTTGGTTAAATGAAAATTAAAATCGGTTTAAAATCTGAAAATCAAGTATTGAAGTTTTAAAAATAAAAAATCAAAATCAAATTTTAAAATCGAACCAAACTAATTAAATTTGGTTAGTTCGGTTCGATTTTCCGATTTTAATCAAATAATGAACGCCACACTCCTATATGTTTGCAATATTTTTTTATGCATTTCTTTTAGCTCTTTTGTTTAGATATTTACTATGTGACATTCCTTAATTTAATAGAATATGAGCCATAACTCAACTTTTACAAACTACTAAATGCAAGGTAAACTTAGAAATAAAAATAACTAAAATAAATAAAAAAACTTAGCTATGGCTGTCAACTTACTGAAAAGCACTATCTGGAGCCGCAAAAATTTTTATGTGCGGACTCCTGACGTAGCTCTACGTGCGGCGCAGGGTATTCCTGAGTTATTTTCAGGTTATTTCTGGGTTATTTTCAATAATCCCGAAATAACCCACGCCGAAATAACCCGCGGTCTTTATTTTTGGGTTATTTCTGGATTATTGAAAAATAACCTATAAATAACCTGAAAATAACTAAGGAATAACCTGCACAACACGTAGATGTACGTCAGATGTCCGGATAGAAAACTCGCCCCTGGAGCCGTATGAGCAGAAAAATGAAAATTGTAGCCGTATTTTTTATTTGCCGTGCTTATATTCCAATGCATATGCTATTATGAGGTCTAATTAGAGGGAGAAGTCACTCTCATTACTTTATGGGTGTCTGCTTGTAACCGGACGTAATTTTATTTTCTTTTTGTCTAGATTTAAATTTAAAATAAAATATATTTAAAATATTTGACTAAAATACATTTATTTAAAAAAAATTTAAAACACATAAAAATTATTTTAAATATTTTTAAAAGAATATTTTAAAAAATGTTAATTTATTTCTAAAAATAAAAACTAAATTTTTTTTAAAAAAATATTAAATAAATATATTTAAAAAAATTGATGACAAGCAAGACCTCAATCTTTTTCATATACCACCTATAAAAGTTAAAAAATTATATTTATAGATGATATAAAAGTTTTAGATGATATAATTGTAAAAAATAAAATTTATGTGCTAGATAAGTAAATAAATATGAATTGGGTGGTATGCATGTAATGCCCCATTATTTTATTCCATTTTCTTCGTCCTTTATTTTTGTTTTCTTTCTTCCTACTGGTTCAGGATGCATGCGAAGGGACCTTCATCGTCCGGGAGCGATGCGATCTCAGATAAGTCGGCTCCGAGGAAGCATTCCAAGAAACCCCAATGTAGCTTCCTCTTTCTTCATCTTAATTCCTCCAATTTCTTCGTTTTCTTCCATTCTTCTCTCCAACCATTTCTTAAGGCTTTTTTTAGATATTCTGAAAGAAATAAAAACACATAAATTTCTACCTTTGGTTTTCTTTATTGTACGAAATGGTTCAGCTGCCCTAACATTTTTCATTGGCGCACTTCTTGTCGATGTCGTTTCTTATATTGATTTATTGGTCCTTCTCATTATGTTATTCGGCTGATAGTTTTTGTGATGTTTACTATATCTTTGATCGACGTTTGTTTAAGTTAAATTTGGTGGTTTCTGCATAGACATGAAGCAGGGGAGATATATTTTTGCAAGCTTTACATACATACCACTCAATTCTTTTGTATTTACATATTCAACATGGAAACTTCAGTTTTTACGATCATGCCACCCCCTGTGCATAAAAAGGTGTATTTTACTGTTTAAAAGTTAAAATGGTGGTATTTTTGATGTGATATGAAAGATTTGGGTGGTATAAATGTAATAATTAGATTTTAGGTGTTATATTTGTAAAACCATAATAATTGGTAGTTTCTTTATCTATCAGAATTTGAAAGATTCTTGCATCAACTTGTTAGGTAGTGTGAACGAATGGAGATCAAAGTAGAGCAACAAGCAAATGATAAAAATAATTTTTAACTCAAAAGGTTTAAGCCTATGATTTAGCCCAAATCATTCGTTATTCAAACACTAATATGTTTTTCAACTATTCGATGTGAGACTAACTAAGACTCTACTATTCTTGAACCTTAACTCATTTCCATAGTTAGTGGTACACTTCTAGTTAAGCTAATTTTTAACTCAAAAGATTTCAAGCCTTCGAGTGAGGGCCAACCATTTAATATTTATACATGAATAGAATTTTCATCCATGGACATGTGACAGAATTCAACTCCCTAGTGCCTTTATCACAATTCTCATAATCTTATAGGAATTCATCATATAAAAGGGATTGTTATATGAGGAACTTGGAATAGGGCACCGACGTCAACATTTTATGAACAAAATGGGGCACTTGTTAATAATTTCAATCTTTATCATATTAGTTATTAGAATCATAAAATTCTATTGAGCTAGAATAGTTTTCGATGCAAAGCATGAATCTTGACATGCTTTATCCATTCACATAATTTCATGCTCATTATTAAGAAATGATGACTCCTTTGATGAGTTGTATATGGAAAAGGACTCCTTTCGGAGAGTTGATCTTTTTGATATAAACATGGCGAAAAATTATTATCAATTTCCAGATGACGCAGGAGCTAGAGTTTTATTTTAGTTCATATGTCTTGGTTTATGTGTTTTAGCTTGTTATTTGTGACTTTATGTTTTAAGATGACGTACTTGTTATTATGAGAGTCTAGCCTTTATAAGTAGGAGCTTTTTTGTGTGGGTCGAGAAGAGGAGGGTTTTTAGATTTGTGTTTGTTTTCTCTTGGGAGGTTTCAGTCCATCCAAACCTTTCCATGCAGTTGTATCCTAGATTGGCGCCCAATTGGTGTTTAGCCATTATCTTATTCTTCATTTTATTCACTGTTTTTCCCAGTTCTTTCCATCTTTCTTGCTAAAATCACTAACTACCACTTTTAGTCGGTATCAAAGCTTAGGTTGTCGTGCTCATTTCAGCCGCCAGACCTATTGCAAGATTAGTTCTTGCCTATTTCTTCATGTTCTAACTTTTTCTTCCTATTTTTTGTCTTTTGTTGAGCTGGTTTCAAGTTTTTCCTTTTTGAGGGAAGGATTTCCCTATCATTGGGGTGAATATCCCCTTGTTAGGAGAGGTGGGGAGGAGGCAACCATAGTGAGATCTAAGGTCTTGCCAAATTTTTTTTGCTTATAGCCTCAAACCCTTTATAAGGTGGTTTGCCAGTGTGGATCAGTTATTTTTCCAGAAGTTCGTTTGAATCTTTGTTCCGCAAGGTGCTGTCCAGTGCACTGGTGATCAAGGGCAGTCCCATTTCTGGCAGTTTTATTGTGGTGTCGGTTTTCACTTTTCCAAATTGCAATTTTTGGCGTTTCTTTCAATCCTAACAGTTTAGCTATCTATGATCATATTTTTTGGGAAAGTTTCTGCGAGAATAGCATGGACAACTCGTCTAGGATAAAAAAACATTCTAAGTCGGGCCTACGTCATTTCTTCGCTGGCTGACATCCTAGTGGTTGACTAAGATGCCTACACGAAGAAAAATTACTCTTCCCAATCAATAACTAACTCTTTATGGAAGGTTTACAATGAGAGATCCGGTATCTTTAAGAAAGAATAGCTATTCTTGAAGAACAAAAATTGGATGAACATAAGGTGTATCAATAAAACAAAATTCTTGAAGAAAACAAAAATACATTTCATCAAGAAGCCTCAAGTTTTGATTGGATTGAAGATTTGATGTTGGAATCTTTTGGAAATCCTACAAACAACTATCATCAAAGAGATAGGATTTTCAATGTCTGGTGGAGCTTGTGTCCTATGAAAAATCCATGAAAGCTATCATGAATGGTGTAAGGTTTTTCAAGTCTAGAAGATCTCAAATTTTTAGTGAGATCCTAGAAGTGGCCACCTTTGAGGCAAGATTTCTAATTTTTAGTGAAATCCTTCAAGTGGCCACCTTTGAGACTAAGAATTTCCCAACCTGAATTGAGACTGAATCCTTGGAGAATCCTAGAAACATTTATTCTGTTCTAGATCTGCATCACAACCTTGTTTATAGGGTAGCCATTGTTGTATCCAAACATATATCACAACCAATGCTTGTGTCATAGCTATTGTGCATACAAATCTGCACAACCTTTTATTTGTGTTGAAGTTTTATCCAGTCCAATGTATTAGCTTTGTTCACAACATATCCATTATAAATCTATACAAAATTCACAGTTGCACTGCAACTGTCTCCTTCTAGACCTGCACCACAACTTTGATTGTACCACTATTTTCATCCATGCTTATGTCACAACCTTTGTACATTACAATCATTTCATGTCATGCTTGAATCATAACCATTTCCTTCAAGAATAACACCACACTCTTGCTCGTAATGTTGTTGGCCGCCCCAAGATTTATATCACAATCTCCCTTTGTCATAGTCATCATTCTTCCAAAATTGTGCCACAAATTCTCCTGCCCCACTGTCATCTCCCTTGAAGATCTTCTTGCATTATATACCAGTTGTTGTGGTATATATATAAAAAGAAAATAGGAGAACGATCTTTGATGAAGAAAAATAGAACGAAAAAAATCACACCAGAAAAAAACACACAAATTTACGTGGTTCGGCAAATTGCCTACGTCCACGGAGTTGCAGAGGATTTTACTATTTGAGGAATTTACACCAGTCGATCGTTTCGACTTACAAGATGAATCTCTTACTTCGTTGCTTTCTCTTCTTCTCTCTCTACACCGGGATACACCGAAGAAATTCTACACCGAGATACACCGAAGAAACTCTACACCAAGATACATCGAAAAAGATAAACTTACAAGAGAAATAAACCCAATTTCCTTTTTGCCACTAGCCACTAAGAAGAAGCCTAGGAAGAACAATCTTCTTCTTCATGTTTCTTCTTCCTTCACCGCAAGTAACAACTTCTTGCACTTTCCTTCCTCTATCCCGAAGAAACCTTCCTCTATCCCCAGGTAACCGAAGAAGAACACCAAACGTGACTTAGAAACTTAAAGGAGAACCGTGCTCTCTGTTCGTAACTTAAAGGAGAAGGAAGGCGACATCGTTTCGCGATCCTGGAGGCGGGAGCAGCGGTTATCGTGAAACCACAGGTCGCGGTCGCGACCTTTGGCGATCGGGAGAGCGGGAGCAGGCGTTGGCGCTGTTTCGCGAAATATAGGAGGCGGGAGGAGTGCAGTCTCCAGCGCTAACAAATCTATGCTACGACCCTAATCACATCATAAATTTCTTTCTTTGATCCTTTGTAGAATAATCACTTGGATCATATTCATCATAATATACATGTATTGCAATCTTGCTTGCATCACAATTATCTTATTCAAGATTTGCATATAAAAGTGTTATGGAAGCAGCGTAAACTGAAATCTGCAGTTCTAAAAATCCCGAAAAGTTGAAAAGTTAGGACCTAAAATTTCAAGGAAAGAATGCATTAAATGAAAAGAAAGATGGTTGATCACCACCAGGGCGCACTTTGGGATTCTGAATACACTTCTTAACCCAGAAGGATACGAGAAATGTTATTACAATCAATCTAAAACTCTCCATCCCCAGTTCACACAAAACAACCTCTATTTATAACAGTTAAGACTCTCTTAATTATAAGTGTGTCATAAATCAAGACATATAAACTGAAATAAAACACTAGTTCCCATGTCATTCACTCGGGATTGGCAAGTTTCCCTTAAATTGAGCAACCTTAGAATCTGATTCCTAATGAGCAACCAACTCAAAGACATTGAAAAATAATGGAGTCGCTTTAATCCTTGGGTAGTTAAGTTTGGTGATCCAAGTATCTTCCAATGTTATCACTATTGAAACTGCATCAAGGGGCTTCAAGCTCCAATTTTGAAGAATTTTGAAGCATCTCAATCCACTTGATATCAATTTCTTGAGAACCATGGCTAATATGTGCAATTATTTTTGTAAAATTTTCATGTTGTGAATCAGGGCCGAAATGCAGGGATTGAGCTTTCAAACTTGGTTGTTGTCAAAGTAATGATGTCTGATCCATATGACCATGTATATCAGTTTGATGCTGATGCCTAAGGGAAGCACAATCAGTATATCGTCTAGTTTGATTACTCTGCAAATACATACTGTAATGAGAATCTTTACTATCTGCTCTTATGTCAATTGCATATTCAACCTTTCACTCCAAATGACTGGTCTCTTTTTTTAGCATATTCATGATTAGAGGCAAAAAGATAATTAATTTCATACACGTTGTACTTGGGCACCGATGATGATTCCAACATCAAATATTCAAACCCATCCTTTTTTGGAACTAAGAGAGTCGAAACAACGCACACTCTAGCACTGTCGCACCGAGTCTTTGTGGATCAACTTATCCACCTAGCATTGAAGTTCCTCGTGCTACTTTGGAGACATTTTATATTGAAGTTTGTTGGGGATGACCGAAGTGGGCACAAGGTCAATGACATGTTATGCCTCTCTCGTAATAAGCAATCCTACAAAAATCTCTGCCTGAATATATCTTTGAATTTTTGTATCAATCCCTGCACTTAGGAAAGTGTTGTCGGTAGCTGCCAAGAATTCTTGGTTATGATCAAAAGGTACCTCATAGCTAACTCCTTAAGATCTTTCAAAAGCAATGAAGTATACAAGTGTTGATTTCAGTGCCCGTTTGAATCCCTCCTTCCTGAAATATTGCACATTGCATTAATAAAAAATAAAAGATGCTATAAAAGCTACATAAAAGGAGCATTGTGGTTGGCATCGACCTCCACCAGACTCATAAGTGTGAGCATCCCAAACAAAATATTTATTCAATGCTAGTCGGAAGCAAAAATTGATTGTCTTCTTTCATTCTCTATGGGCAAAAAAGAAAATAACTTGCTTAAGATTTGTAAGAAAAGCTATATCAAGCAAGTTCCCGAGTCGTCGCCTTACCTTGGCCTCCATAGTTTTTCAGAAATGGTGAAGGATGTTTTCATTATCGCCTTCGATGATGATGCCCTTGGTCTCAAATAACCACGACTCTAGGAGAGTACTAAGGAAAATGATAGCCTCACGTTCTACACACGAGCTATCCCAATGTAATAGCTGAAATCGCGCTGCACAAGAGATCTTCATAGTTTCATCACGAATGACCACCCCAAGGCCGGCTTGGCCATTAGAGAGAAGGGCCCTGCCTTGATCAAGTTGGCTTGGCCATTAGAGAGAAGGGCCCTGCCTTGATCCAGTTGGGTGATCAAGTTGGGTGGGGTGGTGGGGTACCAACAAGAAGAGGAAAACGACCTACAGGGTTGCACCAAAGCAGTTTGAATTCTCTTTTTGATAAAGGAATAAGTGTTAGCATTACCCACATGAAATGTACGTCAATCATATTGCCAAGGACAACCAAGCAATATGTGACGAGCGTTCATAGGAATTACATCACATAAAAGCTGCTCCTGAAGTTTCTGATCGATAGAAAATGACACCATGAATTTTCGGTTGACTTTAATTTTAGCCTCCCTTTTGAGCCACATGAGTTGTAGGGATGGAGACGAGGTTGAGTAGTTAGTTTAATGTCACCTCCCAAAAGAGCTCTTAGGGGTGGTGGGCAGCCCATGACTTAAATACTATTTTTTGGCTCTACACCTAGCCGATGCGAGACTATTTGTCTGTGACATTTTCCTCCATCCAATCACGTGATACTCTCGTCACGGATCGGCTCCACCGAGGGTCCCACAGGATCATGAAAAGTCTACACACCTGACAGACAGTAATCTGCTCTGATACCACTTGTCATCTCTCAAAAGAGCTCTTAGGGGTGAGGGCAGCCCAGGACTTAAATACTACTTTTCGGCCCTACACCTAGCCGATGCGGGACTATTTATTTGTGACATTCTCCTCCATCCAATCACGCGACAATCTTCACGGATCGGCTCCACTGAGAGTCCCACTGGATCATGGAGAGTTCACACACCTGACAGACAGTAATCTACTCTGTACCACTTGTCACCTTTCAAAAGAGCTCTTTTGGAAGGTGACATTAAGTTTCTCCACCATGGTTGTTACAACCACGTTCTTACAACTTTCATCGTCGATTATAATGTTACAATCCTTGTCCAGAACTGTGCATCGGCTTCTAAAGTTGTTATCTTGTAACAAATCTTTTTTAGAACAATTTTTGCACTTACGAGGTGTCTTATCATAAGTAATTCTCCTTCATTCGCCTGCAGGATTTAGTTCCTTGTTGGATTAGTATCTTCTTCTTCTACAATATCATTTTCCTTTAGATCAACCTACTCCACTAATGAACTAATGTGTCAGTTAGGACAATTTGAGGCTAGGCGGCTGAACCCATGACATTTGAAGCATCATATATTGGATGCAATTCTTTCCCTCACTGTGGTAGCATTTATTGCGCCTAGAAAGTAATTTTGTTGCTGTTTTTAACATTTCAACCACCGATTTGTACCCAGAATTGAACTAATTTGTTGGAACCACCCAAATCATTGGTAGGAATGCGTATTGGGGTGTTCCTACCCAATTTCTGCTTATTTTCAACCTTCAACGCCAAGATAATCACGTCCTATAATGTCCAGAACAGTTTGAGCTGAAACATATTAGTGATAGATGATGACCACCCAAAATACATGCAATAGTGGTCACTTAGGGTTCTAAAAGATTGTATTTCAGCCCTAACTGTTCGAGTCCAGCGATATATTCTTCCATGGATAATTCTTGTTGATGAGGCTATGATGCTGGACGAAGTCTTCTTGTCGGTAATGTACAGGTAAGAATTTTTGTTTTTTCCAATATGTGATCTTGGGTTTTCTCTCTCTTTGCCGAATCCTCTTCAAATTTTCTCACCAAAGTGAGGCATTCTTATTCAATTTGATCACCATTAGTTTGATGATATGTTCTTGTGACCCCTCATTGAATTTCAAAATTTGTTCAACTGTATGTAGCCAATTGACGAATTCATCGGGATCTAATCGTCCATCAAAATCAAGAAAGTCGATTTTGATTCTAAAATCTGTTGGTTTCCATTAATTTTCATGCATCAACTTACATAGAGGTTGATCATTACCACTAAAAGTCTCTTAATGGAATAGGTTATCTTCTTCCTTGTTTCATTTTGTTGTTCTTCTGGATCTCGCTGTTCAAGAAACCCTAATCTTGTTTGTAGACGATGAGTATTTTGTTGCAATTCTTCCACAATCAAATCTCAGGTTGGAAGGACATTGTTCCTCTGTGGCGGCATGTTCAATTTTTTGTAGTCCCTGGAAAAGGGAATACAATGACAACCGCAAGCCTCTCAAAGATCTGCACGATTCTTGGACAGAAATCCAAGATCAATCTGCTGCAAAAAAATGGCCGCAAGCCTCTCCAAGGTTCTGGGCTGAAATTCTAGACAACAGAGAAACTCACACAAGGACCTATGAAACCCGCGACAGGACAACAACGAACCTGCGACAGCGGGAAACCACAGTTCTGAAAAGCTGCAAGACAGCTCTTGCAACCATTGAAATTCAGAAAATAGGAAATATCTGGATAGAATTCCAGAGAAAGGAATTCAAAAAGAAATGGAAAGAAAAAAAAAAGGATGAAATGCACAAGAACTTGGAGAAGGAAAAGAAAAGATGTGCAAGAGATGTTTTGATACCAAAAACAAGGTAAACTGAAATCTATAGTTTGAAAAATCCAGAGAAGAATAAATGCTAGGACCGAAAATTCTGAGGAAGGAATGAATGCATTAACTGAAAAGAAAGATTACTGATTATCACCTGAGCGTCACTCCAGAATACTTAATACACTTCTTAACCCGGAAGGATACGAAAAATGTTATTACAATTAATTTAAAACTCTCCATCCCCAGCCCACACAAAACAACCCTTATTTATAATGGCTAAACTCTCATAATTACAAGTATGCAATTCTAAAACATGGAGACACAACAACAAACTAAACACATAAACCAAGTCATATAAATAAAATATAACTCTAGCTCCCACGTTAAAAACTCTTGTCTTAAGGCTTTTACCGTAGTCTTTACCAATGACACTTGCACCTTAACCAAAGCCATCTTCAACTCGGATTACATTAGATTTATATCTTTGCCCCAGTATGGCATACATCTGCTTTATGCACATCTAAAGCATGTGACTGCTTTGGTACCCTTGACTATGTACTTTTTAATTTTCAAGCGGCATCTTTTACTAAAGTCCAATTACTAGAATGTGGACCAGGACATTTAAAGCATGAGACTACCTTTGATTTTTATTATAAAAATCTTAGATGGTTTGGTTATATTAAATGTCGACCATCTAATAATCCGGTTGAGAGTAGATGTTTTAGATTCGACTTGTGTTAAGAAAGGAAGAGGTAGACCTAAAAAGACTTGGGCATATTTATAAAAATTGATCTTAATTTATTATAATTAAATGAAAATATAATATTCAATAGGACATAATGGAGAAAAAGAATTCTTGTAGCTGACCCTACTGGGTGCAATAAAGGCTTGTTGCTGTTGTTATTGATTGCTCGTATGTGATATAAAAAAAATTAATGTGATTAAATCAATATTTACTCCACTAGCTTGATTTCTTGCGCGCGGACACACTATAGTAATCTTTGAATTGCTTCTTTCTGGGCAAATTATTGAAATGCAACTCTGAAGATTGACTAAGAAACACTTTGAAATGAGATTGACAAAGATAATACTATTTTCTTAGTTGTTGGGTTTGCTGTTTTAATTTTCTATATTTATTTTTATGTATTGATATGGATTAGTGGTGGTATCCCAACGAAGGCTTAAAATAAGAAAATTTTGATTATGGTTTTAATTGAGTTGATAAGTTTGATTTCAAATTTAATACATTAAAGTCTCTTAAATGTTAAAATTTTGTACTAAATTCTTAAATGAAATTGTGTGTGTGTGCAAGGCCATCTGCCCTACATGCTTAATTTTGAGAATTTAAAAATTGACTCTTTACCTGCCAAAGGTTATTTTATATTCATAATATTCAGCCTGTACAAAAACCACAAAATGGGAGATTTGAAACAGGTAACTATCTCCTATTTTATGGTGATGTTTATCTCGAGGCCATTTTTTTGTCGTATTATCACTGCTCTTCTTTTCTTCAGGTTCTTTGTTGTAACTTGTGATATTTCTTCTTCATAACTTTCAGATTCCAGATTTACTCAGCAAGAGCTTCCTGCTTGTAAGCCAATACTTACACCGTCGATTGTAAGACGTTCACTTGTAGCATTTTATTATGGGAGCATTTACATGCATATCACCAATTCCTATCTATCTACATATCTAATACCTAAACCTTCCTCCTAATCTTTATCTTTTACATTTATACCACCCAAATCCTTCACATCACATTAAAAAATACCACCATTTTAACTTTCAAAAAGTGAAATACACCTTTTCATGCATAGTTAAGGTGGCATGCATGTAAAAATTGAAGTTTTCGTGGTAGGTATGTAAATATATAGGAATTGAGTGGTATGTATGTAAATTTTCCTAGTATCTAATGCTAATTTTCTTCAAAAAACCCAAGTAAATGGGAGGCTTGACAATTTCAACATCTATGCAGGTCATTGCAACATTTTCTCTGATAGGAGTTGTCTTTATTCCAATTGGTCTAGCTTCCTTGTCTGCATCTGAAAAAGTAATTTATGTTCTTCCGCACGTTTTATTATCAGAAATTGCAAGTACAAGTCAATTCTAAATGTAATAAAATGCTTCATTTCAAGGTGGTTGAAATAGTATACCAATACCATGACGTGTGCATCCCTAGTTTATTCCAAGAAGATAAAGTTGGATTCATACAAAGTACGCAGACTAAGAAAACCTGTACCAGGAAATTTACAGTGAGCCATTCCCCTTCGATTTATTGTACTAAGAATAGCATTTAGGCCTGTTTGGGGTTGCTTTGCCTTTTAGATACTATGACATCTCAGTTTAGCTACTGTTTTTTTTTTTTTTTTTGATGCTTTTCAGAAGTTTCTGTGGTAGAAAATTAATTTTTACCATCAGATTTGTTGAAATATGATTAGGGTTGTCAAAAAAACTCGTTGTTCGCGTAGCTCTTTGTTCGCTTGTGTTCAGCTTGTTTTAGCTCGAAATAAAAAAAAAATTATATAATTATTTATACAATAATATGTTACACATATTATTTATATAATAATATATTATATTTATTTATATCTATGTTTAAATTGTAACTGCTCTTGTGGTAATGTGGTTATGCGCCTTGTTTTGCATATATTTGATCCAGGTCTGAATCCAGCATTCTACATCTATTTTTTCAGTTTAATTTTAACGAGCAAATTTCGAGCCGAACATGAACACGAATATATAAATCGAGCCGAACACGAACACATTGTTCACGAGCCGGTTTCGAACACGAGCAATTTCGAACGAGCCGAACACGAGCCAAGCCTGAGCTCGCTCAAGCTCGGCTCGTTTACAACCCTAAGTATGATAACTCTAAGAAAATTATTATTCAATTTTTTTTTTATATAACTAATATCAGCTTCAAAAAAGTTGTATCCCCTGCAACAACTTTATAACTATTTTTACAATTAGTTGTAGCCATCCCAATCAGACTTTTAATTTGTATCTTCATCTGTTGAAATGTTGTTTACTTCCATTTATGCAACTAACTCATTGTGCACTTCAGGTGACGAAGTACATGAAAAGTCCTGTATTTGTCTATTATGAGCTTGACAATTTCTATCAAAATCATCGCCGGTAATCCGTTGTTTATTTTTTAAAATTTTCTGAATATGTTTTATGCTTTTTTTTGGCTTACAACTTTCTAGCTTTTCTCTTTTTTTTTGTGTTTCGTTGGATGCTAGTTTTCTTCAAGTCTATTGTAAGTTAAAATAATCAATTTTTTAGAGGAAAGTATCTCATTCTACTATTATATGTACCAGTGCGAGCTTGAATTTTTTGTGTTTTATGATCTCTTAAATGGTCATTTTCTTGCGAGTGGTTGTTTTTAGTCGTATTGGCTACAATTGATTTTCACGTTACATTGTTAATTCAAAATGAAATGTGAACGTTTCTGGCTTAAATTTCTCACTATTTATTTTTATTCGAGGAATTATTCAACTATTGATTTGCATAAATTATTTTTCCTTTCTTAATCACATCAAAAGTTAGTGAATAATTATTAATTGATGGTTTTTGTAACTGCAAATATATGTGATTTTATACTTAACATCATTTAGATGTAGTTAGTTTCCTATGCTCTAGACACCATACATCAATATGGGCTTCATGACATATGGGAACAAGATAAAATATGCTAATGTAATGGATTTCTAAGGTATGCATGGTACTAAAAATATTTCAGACAAAAGCCGATGCATGTTCTATGCTTAAACTAATTGTTATTGCATTTTACAAGTCCTCGTATATTCATTTGTGGAGCAAAGAAACTGCACGTTAAGCTTGGTCTTTTTGTGTAACTTGCTGTTTTAATTTTATCAAAATTTTCCGTCTGCTTTTTTTAATTCTTTATGATTATTGGTTTTCTGGTTTTTTAAATATCAGCTATTTCTTTCAACAACATCTTATAAAGTGCTTTTGTGGATCTTGTCCTCTATTTTGTTCATCATGAAATGAGATGATTCAACTAAAAACTTCTTTAGGTTCTATGCGTTGTGATCCTCACAATTCAATGAAATACTACTTTTTTTTAATTAAAATTTTCCATAGTAATAAGGTAGAGGAGTGACCTCTTTTTGAAAATTCAACTTAATTTCCTCTGGTTAACTTTAAACATTGTGCATTTTTTTCGCAACTTATTTATTTCAATCTCGTATTAGAATTTAAATTGTTTAGAACTTATTTGGGATAAATCTTGTTTTTTATTTATTTATTTTTTAAATTTTATTTTTTAAAGTTGGTTTGTTTAATTTATTTTGTATGTTTTTATTTTTTGTTTTTAGAAAAAAATCAACTAGTTTTAAAAAATAGTCAAAATAATTTTTAAGTATTTTTAAAAACAATTATGACAATCAAATATATTTTATTTCAAATCAAAATAAAACAAGTTAAAAAAAAAAAAAATTCTGAATGTCCCCTTGTTTTCACTCTGCTTGCATGTCTCCTTCATGAAAAATTATTAACTGGTCTATATGCTTGATCTAACACTGGCCTCTTGTTCCACTATCAATGATACCAACTCATGTCTCTGATTTAACCCAAGCAGCCGTAACTTCATAACAAGGAAAATTACAAATCCTCGCATTTTTCATAAATATTGCAGGTTTGTCAAAAGCAGAAGTGATAAACAATTGAGAGATAAATCCAAAGAAACTGACACAAAAACTTGCGCTCCTGAAGCGACAACCAGTAACGGCTCTCCAATTGTACCCTGTGGCCTAATTGCCTGGAGCTTGTTCAACGATACATACAAATTTTCAACATCCAATAGAGATTTGGCTGTGAACAAAAAGAACATAGCTTGGTCAAGTGATAAATTACACAAATTTGGGGCTAATGTCTACCCCAAAAATTTCCAATCTGGTGCTCTGATTGGTGGCGGCAAGCTTAATGAAACCATTCCTGTAAGGGATTCTCTTTTTAAAATTTTCCTTCAGTTATTTTTCATCATCTTCATGATGGAATTAAATGTTGCAGCTAAGCGAGCAAGAGGATCTTATTGTTTGGATGAGAACGGCTGCCTTACCTACCTTTAGAAAACTCTACGGCAGAATTGAAGAGGATCTTCAGCCAAACCAGGAGATTATTGTAGCAATAGAGAACAATTATAATACCTACAGTTTTGGGGGAGGAAAGAAATTGGTTCTCTCAACTGCAACTTGGATTGGGGGAAAGAATGATTTCCTTGGAATTGCATATCTCAGTGTTGGTGGCAGTTGTCTAATATTGGCTATGGTTTTCGTAATCTTGCATGTCTTGAGGCCCAGGTAAAGACTCACTCACTACATGTATGATACCCATTCTCGTAATCTTTTTTATCGCTTTCGCAAAATCTGCTCAATTTGACTCGCCCTTCTCTCTCAAAACGATTCAACGAAATTTTTTGCTTTGACCAATTCGCTTTACAGAATCTCTGAGACTAAACTTCGTTCTCATCTCTTCTGTTCTTTGGGCTAGATCCATATTTTAATAGAGCTTTGGTATCTTGCAACTATCAACATAAATTCTGTTTAAGAATGAAATTTATTTGTTAGTATACTTTAGACCATTTTCCTCCTATTTTTCTTCAACAGTATAGCTATTTTGCATGCAATCAATTCTCATATGTTTGCAATCTGCCTTTAAATCTTTCTTCTTTTAAAAGTAAAATAATTTAAGAAGTTTGATAAGGAAATGATGGTTCCTCTTCACCCGCTTTAGATTGTATCTCTCTCATTTCCATATAATGCACCCAAAACATTACTATTTACAAAATAACCATCCTCTTGCATCTTTTTTTTTTTTTTTTTTTTCAAATTATCACTCAAATATCAAATTTCATGATAAAACCCCAGCCCAAAATTTTCATTTTTATCATATTCCTAATGATTTGATTACGGAACACGGAAATACATGAATTGGGTTGCTAAAAAAATTAACTTTGAGTGGGCAAGCCAATTTGTAAATAGCAATATTTCATATGCCATGCATGTAAAGTATCCCCTGAAGATTTCAATCAGTAATCATGGTGAACTTTTTTTATTTCATTCTTGTTTTATGCTTAAAGCTAATAGACTTGAAACATCCTAATCCAAGTGGCAAAAGGTTATTTTCCTGCAATGATTCTTGCTAAAAAAAAATGAAAAATCTGGTTTGAATTTCTTCGCAGGACTCTTGGAGACCCGACATACCTATCATGGAACAGAAGCAAAGGGAAGAACTCGACTTAAGCCTTCATGTCTCCGACTCTCTACATTTCTAATGATGGAAAATACATTTGTTCAAATCATGGACATACTTAAATCCAAGTGTTTGATAGGTTTGTAATACAAATTTGTTTTGTTATTAATATTTAATAGAATATCATATTTTAATAATTGTACATGTTCCAGCGAGCATGATTATGGACTACTTGTGCTTTGCTTTTGAGAATTGTGAAAAAAAAAAGGAAAATAAAATTTAAATTAAGAAAAATAAAAAAATCAGAAGTATATGTTCATTTTTCATTAAAAATCTGGAAGATTTTGATTCGCAGCATTTAATTTTAATATAATTATATATTTAACACCTATATTTTAACTTTTACATGCATACCATTGCTATATATATGCTTCACAATGTGTATTTTATTTTTGGAAAGTTAAAATCGTGCTATTTTTAATGTTATATGAAAGATTTTGGAATCTAAAAAGTGAATTTTAGGTGTTAGATATGTAAATTTCAGGTCTGAGCTAATTATTAGAAGGTTAGAAAATTTAATCAAAACAACATCATAACAATTTTTTATGAATTCCATGGCAATTAAATGTTCACTTGAAAATAAGAACTTCAAATATTACTTGATATTATAAAAAATAATTTTACTCTGCCCGAATGTGCTTCTAAATTTCATAAAAAACTATTCTTGAGAGTGATGATTTTACACATGCTACATAAAATTTAGCATTTATAAAATTAACATTCTTTTATTTTTGTTCTTTAAATTAACACTCAAATACTCTGTTGTTTGAGTCTAAATGACAGCTAATAGAATTCAGACTTCAAGCGATAGCATAGTTGTTTGTTAACAAATCTTCTATCAAATTTAAGAACTAAAAAAAATTTGGCATTGAAATCGGATTTATCAAAAAAGCTTCCCGTAAAAACGACAAATCTGCAATCTTTCTCACTGAGACAGAAATCTCCACCCTAGCTGCGCCCTGACGATTGTTCTTAGTAGGTTAGTTTCTTTATGGAAACCCTAAAATTGAGCTAATTCGAAAGAAATTTGAGCAAATGAAGCTGAAAGGGGGTTGAAGATAAGTGAATTGGATGGTCGCGACATTCTTATTCAATTATCAAATGACGAAGACTACACCCATTTGTTTGCGAGAAGAGTTCTTTGAATAGAAAACCAGGTGATGAAGGTTTTAAAATGGACGGTGGATTTTAACCTTCGTACTGAACCTCCTACCATTCCTGTTCGGCTGCGCTTCCCAGGTTTGAAGATCGACCTTTTTGATCAAGAGCTTCTCTTCGCTTTAGCAATTGTATACGGTAAACCCCTCAAAGCTGACACACCTATAGTGAATCTGATTCGGCCTTCAGAAGCCAGAATTATGATAGAAATGGATATTACTTTACCTTTTCCGGGAGAAATATGGATTGACACACAAAATCAGGGATTTTAGCAGCAAACAAAATATGAACATATACCACTTTATTGTACCCACTACCGTATGTTTGGACATTATCCTTCTCAATGTTATCAGTTGCATCCGAATTTAAAAGCTTCAAGTAAAAAAGCTTCTGGATCTGCCCCATCTCATACAAACGCTTCTGGATCTGCCTCACCTCATACCTGTCCTTCCTCTGCTCCTGAGTGCATTCCACATACTATTGAAACACCGGTTGACACGATGCCCCTCCCCCTCCCACTACCGGAGACAATATTGTCTCTTTTCTTCCGACTGATATATTGGCAGATGGTTTACTTGGGTCCGATAATCAGGATAGTATTGAAGTTCTACAACCCCATGATGCATCAGGTGTTGAAGAGACATGCTTACCATCTCTTCAGAATCATAATGTTGTTACTGCTAGTCAGGAGTTGGAGGCTCATTCTCTCCTATATACCCAACAATCTATTGACCACACCGATCAGATGAGCCAGTCCTCGAATGAGGAATGACATGTATGCACTTCAGAATCATAATGTTGTTACTGCTAGTCAGGAGTTGGAGGCTCATTCTCTCCTATATACCCAACAATCTATTGACCACACCGATCATATGAGCCAGTCCTCGAATGAGGAATGACATGTATGCACATTTAGAAAGAAAAAGAAGAATGAAGACACACCCAGCTTGGAAACTTAATGGATGATACTCTAGTAACTTCATGTAATAAAACGACACTCAACAATTTGTTAGTTGTCTCCACTCCCAGAACCAGAGGCAGAGGCAAGACCAAACTTGCTCGTGCCTATCAGTTTTATTTCCTGCAAGTTTTATTTTTTTGTGTTTTATCTATGTTTCATCATTTTATGTTGCTAGTGTCTGTTGTATCGTATGGGTAGGGCATCTTTTTTTGGGTCCTCTCATACAACCTCTATGTATCTTTTCAATTTCAATAAAATTAGCCCTTGGGCGTTTATAATAATAATATAATAATAATACTAGCCTCTAGCCACTCCTAATTTGACTGACAATCCAAGTACCACCTCTTTAAGGCCAAATGTGCCAGAGGATTCGAACCCCCGACGTGAGGGCTCTTATACAGAGAATGTCAACCAACAAGCTATGCAACACACACAGACACAAATATATATGTATATATATATACTATATAATACAAATGATTAAGTTGGAGCAGGTTTAAAAACAAAGTGCAAGGGAAATTTTGAAATAATTAACAAAATATGAAGAAACATTCAGTAGTAGTCAATTATATTCAAAGAAAAATTAGAATAGATATAAGGGTAAAGCTACTCCTCTGTTGCATTACTAAGCAGTAAATTTAGTCCATTCCATTGCTTATGATCCTGTTTTCTTCCTTAAGCTGTCAACCTTAACAAAGCAGTCAACTCCTATGTTTTAAACAGAATGACACTCCTTCCCTCCTCTCTTCTAATCTAAAGAGAAGGTACCAAATGAACCAGTTTTGACAATCTCATAGAATTAAAAATAAAGTTTTCCTGCTCAATTTGTAACATAGCATTGGTTTCTACAACAACCCCTGTTGTGCATCATCCTGTACTGCCACACAATTGTACCTAAGTTTGTGTGGGGTTATGATCAGACAAAGTATACATACATGTGCACGCGCACACTCGCACACTTATATTCAACCAAGAACAATACTTAATATAAAACAGCTGCAATAAATTGCAGTTTGCGGATGGCTGCCGCATGCAGTAGAGGCAAGTAAGCAAATAAAAATGTTGTTTGCTCAAATTATTTCATGTTAAATGATTCAAAGTAAGAAATATGGACATGATTTTCATTCAAACAATAAGGATGCCAATAATTGTAGTGATTTCAAGCTTTAAGCAATTCAAAACTAACTTAACAATTAAGTCATAGATAGACTTGAGGTAGCCAATATTTCGAGAAATAATGTGATACTCATATATGTTTACGTATCAGGAATATATTATTTAAAATGACATGGGGATTCTGCCATAAGATAATATTAATAGGATTGTAAATTTTTTAAAATTACAATTATGCCAACCATGCTGTTTGGATCTGAGAGCTAGCATAGGAAATATCAAATTAGAAAATTACTATATATTTTGTTAGTGGCATACTTATTTAGTTAAATATTGGCAAATTGTATTGATTCCTTGAGAGGTCCTTTATTGAATAATACATAGCAAAAATGCCGAAATCAATTCGAGAGATTCGAAACAAAATTTAGAACAGAAGCGCACAAAACTAGACAACACAGAGAATACAAGATTTAACGTGAAAAAACCCGAGAACAAAAAAAACTACGGAACCTTACCATATATCCATTATGAAGAAAATGAGAAAAATTGTACAAATTACATCACACTTAAGCCTCTCCACACTTTGGAACTCAAGTTATGCAAGAGAAATAGAAATCCAGCCCTCAAAACACACAATTCCGATCAACATAATTGAAACTTAAATCAGAGAACTGCACAAATACAGTTATTGGCGTCAGGGCGCCCGCGATGGGGCACAATAGCGCTCCAAAGGTCGTTGGGCATTGACTTCCAGGCTCAATAATGTCGTGTTCATGGGTTTCTGAACTTGGACTGGGCGCTCCCCTTGGGGCGTTGGAGTGTCAAGTGCTCAAGTTCCTAGACCTGGACTGAGCACTATGGCGCTCTATTCCGAGTGTTGCGGAGATGTTCCAAGCTTCAGGGTGTTGCGTCCGGGAACTACGCCGTCAAGTACATGAAATAAATATTTTTAGCATCAGTGCTCTCGAACCCAAAATAGTGGGGACACTCGCGTAACCCCCGACAAAATCACCATCAAGCATAAACGACGAAACTTAATGCTCTGAGAGAACAATTGATCAACACAATCAGACTCCATATAATAAAAATCACCCACTTGGAGAATGATTGAAACCAATTCCGATCAACCAAATCTCAATCATCTTCATAGTAATGATTTGTACTGTAGCTCATCCCTATCTCAACCTTCTTGAACTCCAACCGAAGCAAAACATAGCTTCAGTTTCTCAGTTATCATTACTTTAGTCAATATATATGTAGGATTTTTAGTTGTGTATATCTTCTTCAAAGATAATTGACCATATTCTAAGAGTGAACAAATGAAATGGTACATTAGCTGAATGTGTTTCGTCTTAACATGAAATACGACAAAATATGACATTCTTTGTTAGATGAATGACACTTATATTGTCACTATGAAGTTTTTCATTCACTTGCTCAAGATGAATGACACTTATATTGTCACTATGAAGCTTTTCATTCACTTGCTCCTTGTCTAGTTTTGCCAAAACTATACAACTAAATTATTTTCTCGTTAGCCTGAGTGATAACAATATACTCAACTTCTGTATGCAATAATCTTCTGTAACATGAAAACCTAATTCACTATTGTGTTCCTCAAAGCAAAAATACAACATATTATACTTCTACCATCAATTTATTCTGCCGGATTTGAATCTACATCTCCATAGAATAATCCTTGCACTTGCAAAGAAAAGTTTATTGTTGATTGTTGCTCTCAAATTTCTAGGAATCACTTCATTGTCTTCTAATAATATTTTTCTGAATTACTCACATACTTGTTGACCACTCTCACTGCATCTACAAAACCTGATCTCGTACGTCTTAGTATACATAGTCTTTTAGTGACTGCTTCAAACCATAAATACTCTTTTTCAGCCTACAGACTATGTCCTAGATACTCATATCACTATGATTGCACCAAATACAATTCTTCTTATAAGTCATCATGTCAGAAGATTATTTTTACATCCATCTGCTCTTGATGTAAATCTTCCTTTGCTACTAAGCTCAACAAACTTTTAGTAGTCACCTTTACTACAGGAGAAAATATTTTACTATAGTCAACTCATTTCTTTTATTAAAATTCTTTTACAACAAGTCTTGCCTTGTAGCGTTTGCTACCATCCGACTGTTTTTTCAGTCTATAAACTCATTTATTATGCAATGTTTTTTTTTTCCATCTAGTAGTTCCACCAATTTTCATGCTTGATTTGACATTAGTGATTGCATCCTGTCATCCATGGTCAACTTTCATTTCTTCGAGTATTCAACTTGAGTGACCTCATTATAACACTCTGATCACCACTATCAATCAGTGATAGATAGTACAAGAAGGAGATAACTCTATATCGCTCATGTGATTATGCTAGACCTCTCAACTTCAGTAACAGGTGTCTGAGGAACTTTCTATGCTTCATCAGATTGAGCATCTTTCCTTTCTTCATTTTCCCGATCACTTGAGTCTTATATCTCAACATATTTGGAAGGTTATTCAAAAGTAACGGATGGATAATCTTGAGTTCTATTTTTGTCTTTATACATCTCCATTTCATTGAAACTGACATCTTTCCTTTTAATGAATTTCTGATTCTGATATCCCATTGTAATCACATTCATCTGAATCATACCTAATGAAAATGCACTTGACAGATTTGAAATCGAACTTACTCATGAAATCCTGAATCAACATAAACATATGATGAACAACCAAATAATTTCGGGTGAGATAGATTTACCTCTTTGTCACTTCAAATTTCCTTAAGTAAACCTTCATTCAAAGGTACTAATGAACTAGGGGTGTCAAAACTTGACTCGATATGCCAACTCAATTTTTGGGTCGGGTTCGAGTTAAAGATCCTAACTTGTTTAGTTTTATAGGTTGGGATTAGGTAGACTCACCAACCCCAAAAATGACCCGAAAATTACCAACTAACCATAAATTGACTTGAAATCAAATCGCCAACCCAAAATTAACTCAAGATTGACCGAAATTAATCTAATTTTAACCCAAATAACAATTATACCTAATGTTAAATGGATTACACCGATCTGGTTTGTGTTGGCAAGCTGAAGGCAAATCGAGTTTGGATTAGGATTTTTGACCGATATAATATTTGGGTTAGGCAAGACCAATTCGGGAAAGACCCCCCAAACCCAACCCGCTGACCCAAATGAACAGTCTTATGAAAAACCAAAACTTATCAAATAAACTACAGTGTTCATTATTTTTCCACAAAATTTTGGCAAGCCTGCATATAACCTCCTACTCCTGATACACTTTGTGATGGTACTGTTCATGCGCTCAACAACATTTTGTTGTGGTGTCCTTGGAACTATGAACTCTTGCCTGATTCCTTTTAAAGCACAACAACTTTTGAACTTCTAATCACGATACTCACTACCATTATCTGATCTGAGACATTTTAACCCTAAACTTGTCTTATTCTCAACCATGGCTTTCTAATTCTTAAATATATCAAACACATCAAATTTATGTTTCTTGTACACCCATACATTCCTGGTGTGATTATTAATGAAAGTGACAAAATAAAGAAAACCTCCAATAAGCTGAATTGAAGTAGGACCTCATACTATATTTTGGACATTCATTTGCATATCATAAATACAATCTTTACAGAAATTTAAGTCTATAGACTTTAAAACCTAAAGTTTATTTTTAGAAAGGAGGGACTTCATATATTTCTCACTCATATGACCAAGCCTGCGATGCCAGAGACCTGCATCAATCTTTGTTCCATCTACTCTAATGAATTTGGACATTTCATTGAACATATAAATGGTGCCTTCAATGTTGTCTCAAGCCATCACAATTGCACATTTAGTAACCATTCACGAGTCTGCGATGCTAGAAACCTGCATAAATCTTTGTTCCATCTACTCTAATGAATTTGGACATTTCATTGATCATATAAATGGTGTCTTCAATATTGTCTCGAGCAATCACAATTGCACATTTAATAACCATTCGCGAACCACTTGTGAAAGTGGTCACAAACTTTAACCTTGTAAGCAAACTAACAAAATTAAGATTTCACTTCAAATATGAAATATGTCTAACTTCATTCAGTTTCTAGACTGAATCATTTAACAATCTGATATCAACATCACACATTCTAATAATATTGCATGTTTTGTTATAATACACCATCTATCGATCACCTTGAGTATAGTTTTTGAACACCTCTTTGTTGAGGCAAATATGAAAAGACATTTGAATCCACTATCCACGATTCAGTGGTATCTCGGGATAAAATAAGAGAGTGGTTTTAGATTTAATCTGTGGAGATATTTGTAGAAAGCTTTCTATCTGGAGTTCCATCGCCAACTTTTTTCGGAGCTTTATTGTCCTTTTTAAAATGATATTTCTTCCTAGGGTTCCAGCATTCACCTTTGCCTTTTTTCTCTTCTTGACCTAAACTTCCCTCTCATGAACTTGAATATGCCCTGCTTGTGTTTCTATCTATTTTCCCCCTATAGTTTTAACATTCATAGCAAAATTTGAAGTTTCACCTCTCGTCCTCTTGCGAACTTCTTCATTAACACGAAACCCACAATATCATCAAAGTCTAATTTCATGTTACCAGAAGAATTACCATAGTAACTAGTCCATCCTAACCATCTAGCAATGAAGCTAAGAGTAATAATGCCATAACCTTGTCATTAAATTTGATGCCAACGGAACACAACGTGTTTGTCACAGTGTTGAAGTTATTTAAGTGTTCAACCATTGAACTACTATCTATCATCTTCATCTTCATATTGAAAAACTTCGTCATCACAAATACTTTGTTTGAAGCTAAAGGCTTCTCATACATTCTTTCTAGTGCTATCATGAGATCAACAATAGTCTTCTTATTTACAATGTTGAAAGTAACATATGAGAAAAGTGAAAGTTACATCAAACTTAGTGTTATTTGATCAAGAACTTCCCCTTCATTTAGTCATCTATTCCAGCTTCTTAGTGATTACATCTAGTGGCAAATGTAGTTTCTTTTGATACAACAAATTTTTAACTTGTATTTTTCAGAAACTAAAGTTCGAACCATTGAACTTCTCAATCTTGTACCTCGCCTTATCGACCATTGCTCCTACTCGAACCAAATATCTTAAAAAAACCCCGATATGGTGGGAACTGAATCGAGATATCTGAAGCAAAAATTAGAACAGAAGAGTACAAAACTAGAAATACAGAGCACAAGACTTAACAAGGAAAAACCCGAGAACGAGTAAAATCACGGAGCCACACCATACCAAGAAATCTACTATAAAGAAAATGAAAAAATCGTACAAATTGCACCACACTCAAACCTCTTCAAGTTTTGGAACTTAAGAACGCTCCTTCCACTCACCCTTACTCGAGAGAAATTAAAATCTCATCCTCAATACGCACACTTCTGATATGTAGAATCACTTAAATCGAAGAACTGCACAAATACGGTTACTAACATCAGGGAGCCATTATAAGGAGCGATGGCGCTCCAAAGAGTGTTGGGGCACTGACGTCTGGGCGATGCAAAGTCGTGCTCTTGAGTTTCTAAACCTGAACGACGCTCCCCATAGGGCATTGGAGTGTCGAGCACTTGGGTTCTTGAACCTGGACTAAGCATTGGGGTGCTGTCGTTCCAAGTACTTAGACGCTGCATCCGGGGAGATGCATTGGCCGATACATGAATTAAAATTTTTCAGGGGTAGCACCTCTGAACCCAAAAAAGCGGGACACCCCTGTACCCCCAACAAACTCACCGGCAAATATGAACAATGAAACTAAGGGCTCTAAGTGAACAATTGTTCAACACAATCAAGCTCCACATAATAAGACAAAAGAGCTTTCTCCTCCATCGGGGAACTAGAACCTAAAACTCACCTAGCCGCTC